GAGGGACAGCGCAGGAGGGGAAGACCCTCTATGAGACGGATTGATTCGGTGACTGGGGTAATCGGGATGGGTGTGTCAGAGGAGGTGCGGTTGGCGCAGGATAGAGCAGGGTTTAGGGCTGTTGTGCATGGGGTCGCTGTGAATCGGAAACGACTCCACGACACATAACAACAACAATAACCTTCATTACCACAGGCTCTTGCTCATGCATTCTTTCATGAAATACTTCTGTGTCCACCAATTCCTTTTGTTACAATGACTCTGAATACTCTTTCCACCTTTTAATGCTTACTGCATCATTTAATATTCTGTCTAAAGCATCCTTAAGTATTGCAAATCGAGATTTGACTTTGTTCTTCAGTTCCTTCAGCTTGAGAAAAGGTGAGCGAGTTCAGCCCTTTCGATTTTCTGACTCCAGCCCCTTACACATTTCTTTCTAATACTTTTACTTTGTCTTCCCAAGCTGACATCTGAAATCTTCTGTTCAACTCCTTAGTATCTTGATTTCTTCCCTTTGCTTTGGCTTCTCAGCACTCCAGTGCAATATTTAGAGTTTCTTCTGACATCCATCTTGGTCTTTTCTTCCTTCTCTGCCTTTGTAATGACCTTTTGCATTCTTCCTGGATGATATTCTTGATCCTTGGAAATGGACATCATGCTTGGAAAGGTGAATGGTTAATCAAAGAGGAGAAAACTCTGCAGAATGAATTAATGCATGACTTCAGCAAAGGGATCAAGTGTGTCTGGGATGGTAAGAATGGCACAAGACAGTATAGGGTTCAGAGCTGTGGTACATAAAGTCACTATGAGTCAACAGCACTTATCAACAACAAAAAACAATTTCTATATGGTTAGCTTTCATATTCAACCATATAGATGTATTTTTATAACTTAGGATCAAATTCAAGAAAGAAAGAGAAGATTTACAGCTTCCTATACCAATAAAAATTTTTATAGTTAGTTCTTATCCTTCTCAAATAATGACAACATATAGTTGAAAAAGACAAATATTTTAGTAATAAAAAGAATAAATTCAAATAAATTGCTTATAAATATTCCTTTAAAAATTGTATTAAGGGAAAAGAAAAGTTGGCATGAATAGTTTGTAATAGTCATGTAATGTGGAGAACATAGGTAGAACTACTGAAATGATAAATACTAAAATAGTTAAAATGAAAAAAATTTTGACTTATAATTTACCATGTTTAAAAATAATAAAGCTCAGTGAGCTATAGACATGGTTAGAGCACCCAACAAGCAAGGTAAGAACAGGCTTACTTTGATTTCTTAATCTTCAGTGAACAATTTCACATGAGTTTCACCACATGGTTGAAAAATAATGTGAAACAGTTCAGTACAGATTAGTACGTAAACCCAAGTAAACTTGTTTATTAGAGGATAGTCAGTTCCCTGTTCAGAACTATAAATTTGAAAGAAGACTTTGACTATGTTGAAAGGTGCCAAATGACAGTTTCTAGAAGCAGAATCTTTGTTGTGGTGAAAAAACAAAACAAAATCTAACACCTGAAATTATTCATTAGAGTCTAGTAAATAAGCATAAGTCAGTCTGTACTTAACTTTGCTTATTGGTGAATCTGACACCATCTACGTAGCGTGTTACATATTAATTACCTTCCACTCTATGCCAGGCTCAATAATTATGTATATCCTCTCTTGCCAATCTCTGAATTCCCAGCCTTTTAGAGGGCTTCAAAGTTGTTATTATAATTAGATGTCATCAAAAAGTATTACTAATTATTTTCATAATTCATAAGTAATTAATGATTCATTGTAAATTAATTATTAACCAAAAGTGTCATTTACTTACAGGTTTATTTATTTCTTTTTTATTATTTTACTTCAATCCTTCAAATTTATAATATAGACATTATTTCATTCTTTTTCAAATCAAGCATTTAAACATACAAAGATTGTACAAGTTGTCCAAGTTTACATATCAAAATATGTAGACATCAAACTTTAACCCAGTCTGCCTTCACAGTCCTCATTCTAATTATTATTTGTGTTACTTTTAATGTACAGACTAAATACCATTTACAGATTTAAATAGCTCATGGGTATTCACACACAAACACACATAAAATTTTTCCCCTATATTTTCAAGAATATAGAAAAGATAAAACTATTTTTACCTGGGAATTCTAACATTTTAAAATGTAGATCAGAGATTAATCACATTTGAAAGGTAGTCTAAAACCTAGCCCTGACTGGGACATGAGGCTAGTTCCATTTCTTGGGTAAAAATATCTGCTAGGTCCCCTCCATTTCAAACTTTAGTTAGTGATGTTTTCTCTTTGATCTTTTTACATGGCAAAAAAGTATTAAGTCACTGGCATCAATCCATCAAACTTTCCTTTACCAATGAGTAATTCTATCTACACTACAATCTAGTAGCCTGAGTAATATTTAGAAGAGGAGCCAAACAGCAAATGTTAATGTCATCATTGATGTACTAACCTTAGCACTTCTTCTTGGTCCTTCTAGTGACTTTGGGGTTAGGTAACTTGATTGAAGGCTTAAGTCAGACACTTTCACCATGATGTCTCTGTAATTTCCCCTATAACGTGCAGTAAATGGAATTGCAATGCATATTGGAAATGGAATTCTCTTTTCTGGATCTAAGAACTCAATACTGATAACATTGCTGACCAGCTCTTCATTATCATTCAGTATTAAAGAACTCATGTTATTAATTATTCGGGATTCTAAGTGTTGTAATACATATAATGGTGCTGTAACATAGCAAGACACTTGAGGTCCGGTTCCGTCATTTAACACATCAAGAAACCTGCAGGAGAAATAAAGCTGTAACTTTTTCACTTGTTTATGTACGATTTAACAAAATGCTTACAAGTATAATTTAAGACCTACATTCCCTTGGTGTGAATTCCAATTTTCCCATACAATTATTCTACATACAACTATTATTATTATTATTATTATTATTATTATTATTATTTCCCTTATAATTATTCCACATACTGACTCTATGACTTTGGGCAAGATACTGAATGTCTCTGTGCCTTTATTTCCTCAACTGCAACATGATGGCAAAATAACACCTATCTCAGAAAGCCATATGAATTGAATGGGCTTTTGTGGGTAAGGAATGTTGGTGATATTCTCATCTGTAAAGTTTTATAGTCTCTGAAACCTAATGGAAGGCCCCCTTGAGTTTCTAGATAGAAATAGAGGTCTTATTATAGGTTAAATATTCATAAACTCAAGAACACCTCAGTGAAATGATTGTCACAGTGACTGCCCCAAGGGCCTTGAATGAGGTGGAGATCATCAGGATGGTGTAGGATAGGACAAGGTTTCATGTGCTGCTCATACGGTCACTATGAGCCATGGTCAACTCAACAGCCCCTAACAAGTATTTAGAAAATAGTACATTGTAGATTTTATATATTTATTATTAATGCTTTGATGGGGAGCTTTGGTGTCATAATCTGGATGGAATTGTACTGCTAATTCAAGTGTGATGCCTCTCTGGCCATTTTAATAACACTAAATTTACAAACCTGAGTTCCTCCTCTTGTTGTTGTTGTTGTTGTTATGTGCTGTCGAGTCGTTTGCTACTCATAGTGACCCAGGGAAATTATTGAAATATAGACAATATTCATTAGACATAAAAAATAATCCTCTTATTTCTTCTCAAAATGTGTATATTAATGATAAGTTGACTTGGTACTAAGGAGTTTTGCTACCAAGTCCACCACTGGTGATTCAAATCCACCAGTTCCTCTATAGGAGAAAGATGGCCAATTTCCTCCTATGCCATTTACAGCCTCCAAAAACCCTCTATGAGTCAGTTCCAACTGAATGGTACATAACAACAATAAAAAACACAGTACTAATAACCTATTTTAAACAATTATGTTTTAGCTATTTTTTTAATCATTGGTAAATAAATTGTATCATGTACACAGCAAAAAAAATCAACATCTGTTCATGTTAACAATTCTGAATTCATAAAATCAGAAGAACTGAAATGTATGTAGTATATTGTCTATATTAAAATTCTGTGATGAAATCATAATGCTGACCCAGGTAATCAGAAATATTTAAAACAAAACAAAATAACCCAAACAAAATGTTCAGTGACCCAACCTTGGATATCTTCAAAGATGACTCTTCTGTGGTTACAAAAGGACTGTGCCCTAGATACTGTCTCAACACCCTGTTATTCCAGAAGACCTGTTTCCTAATTTACAAGGAAACCTATAAACTGTTTCATTTCTCAGGCTTCTAGACTAAATAGATTTCCCTTTGCCTGTAAAATATTCATCCTGGTTTATTCTAGTCTTGCTTTTCCTTCAGAGGCTAGGATAACTACAGGAAGAATGATAGGCTTGTTTCAGAAAGTTACCCAATGAGCAATCACAACAGATCTGAGCAATGCTTTCTTCATGACATTCAACTTTTATGTGGTATGTTGGTTCTTAGCCCAAGGGATTGCAATGAGTAGTCATCTTCTCAAAGACGCAAGTCAAGCACAATTGACTTGAATGCCACCGAGAGGAAATCAGCAACTGGGGAACACCTAGAGGAGGTGTTAAAGGGAGTGTGCAGGCAGTGACTCATTAGCTGATGCTTTGAGTCATATCTGAAAGTGAGGATATGAAGTGTCACTGCTTTTCTAAAACACAGTGGATAACCACTGAACGACGACTTTAGGTGTTGTTTTGAAAGGGGATAAGACTTTTTCAGACCATGCAAACTGAATGCATCCCTGACATCCATAAGAATTCTTTGCCATTTCTATCTATACCTGAAAGCCCAACTCTTCCATTTTCTACGTGAGAATACCAAGGCAAAGGTGGGCAAAAAGTCTTGTCTGAGGCCACAGACTGAGTTAAGGGTATCATTATCAATCAGGAAATAGTACTCTGCTCCTGAAAGAGGATCCCACATCAAAGAAGAGGAAAGGGGAAGTGAGGGATGCTAGTGAGAGGTGGGGAAAGTGAGGGCTCTTGAGGATGGAATAAATTAACATATATTTAGCTGACTGAAAGCACCTGCGAAGTGGCATGGGCTCAATAATATAGAGAACTGTCTCATTTCGCTTTACCAATGAAATGCAGAAGATATGTATCATTTCTAAAAGACAGAGAGAGAGAGAGAGAGATAATAAGGCTAAGAAACAAACAAAAAGTTGCCCAGGGCCACAAAATTGATATATAACAAAATAATAAAATTTAAGTCTTTCTAAGTTCCCAGATAATATTTATTTTCTTATCCCTCATTAATTTCCAAGGATTTTTTTTTTTTTAAATCCTGGGAAGAGAGGTTGCTGTTAGGTGCCGTCCAATCAGCGAAGACTCTTAGCAACTCTGTGAACAAAAGATCTCAACTTCCCCCATCCTACACCATCCTAGGATTTCTGGCATGCTCAAGAATCCTGGCAGCCACTGTGTCAATCAGTCTTGTCTTCTCTCTAATAGGACTCTCAAATATTGTTTTAGTTGAACAAACAGGGGATTATTACAATTTATGTAAGGGACATAATCCATAAAATAGATCTGTCCTTTTCACCTGTTTGAAGATATGGGCCCTTGAGAATTGATGAGACCTTTGAGTCATCTCCAAAGAGATGAAATAGATGTGATCACCCAATTTTGAGAACCTCTAAAGCTTACTCATGAACCCCTGTAGTTCTCCAGACAGAGGTTAAGAATATTTGGTGGCTTGTTTGAGAATGAAAAATAAATATGAATATAAAAAATTATCTTCCAATTTCTGAACTCTCTGAGGTCTCTTATTGGTTTTATCTAATTTTAAAGAAAAATTATTGGCTTAGGAAAGTGTTCATGGTCTGGATATTTTTTACATTTTGACAGCTCCTTATCTAGCTAATTTTTCTGCCTTTAAAGTAAAATGTGTTTGCTCTCTCATGCTATAAGAAAGCCGTATTAGTAGTGACAGTCATATGTATTTTTCACCCCAGGTCCAACATCTGTTTTATTTATATCTCGGTGACAGAGCAGTCATTTGTATTTTTATGAAGTACTTTTAATTGAGTTATTGATTCACAATAACTTTTTCAGATATGAAAAAGAAGTGCAATGGTTTATCCATAATACTTAGAAGTGCTATGTTTACTAACCACAAACCCACACATACAGGCACATATAATCCCCTCTTCCCTTGAATTTACTTACTCCTTCTCCATTATGTTTGCCTTTTTGTTGACACTCTCTGAATCATTGGAAAGAAGACAATCCTCATGTGTACTGAAGCTGTCATGTGTCACTGAAGATGTGGTAATCTCTTCTCCTTGGCTTTCTGAGATCTCTTGTGTTTCTCTTTCTGTTGTCTGGATTATGCCATGAATCTCTTCCTTGTTGCCATTTATGTTCTCGGCAGTCATGTGACTCCTTTGTTTACCATCTTCATTTTCAGTCCTATCTGGGCACATTTTGTTCTGGGACTCCTCTTGTCCTGCTAGATTTCCATCCAGCGATGCTTTGTTTTCTTTTTCCATTAATTCTGAACTCGTGTGTGTTTTGTTTTTCCTAAACTGTCCTTGATTCGTGTAGTGCCCTTTCTCCTCGTTTATGGGGGAAGTAGTAGCTGTTACTTCTGCGACATTTAGCTCCCCTCTTGCAGAAATGTCTGGTGCTTTGACATCTTGAATGACAGACATTGTCTGCAGTGGAGTGTATTCATCACGCATGCTGCATAAATGACACATCTCTTTTGCTTCTTTCTTTAAAAGTGTTGCAGTGCTCCCCAAATATCCATTTATTTTCATAAAGCAGTCTATGACAGCAGTGATTTCTACACACATACACACACACAAAAAAAAAGAACAATACAAAACTAAATCCAGTTATATTACTGTACTGACACACAATAAGGTGTGGAAAGATAATCTTAAAAGTAAGGAAAGGATGCTAACTATACACCTAAGCCTATCTACTTTTTAAAGGAGAAATTGTACAAGTTGTACTTTTTTGTGACAGTTATAGGAGCTAATACTTGTAGGAATTTGAGGACAAACTTTTGAAGATATTTGTTAGTTGCTGTGAAATCTACCAAAACTCATGTGGGCCCTCTATGTGGAAGTCAGAATTGCTGCCTTCTGGGCCCCTCCAGAGCCACAAAATTGGTATGCAATAAAATAAAAAGACTTATTTCATTTCAAGACTGTGATTTTTTTTAAAAAAAAGCGAACTGCCATGTCTGTCTTCTCATGTGTTCTGGATGTGTTTGAACCCACCTTTTAGCTGGTAGTCAAGTATTCATTTGTGCCTCTTAAGGACACTATTTAAGACAGTGACAAAAAGCAAGGTAAATTCCTCCAGCTTATGAAAGTGCTTTGAATATTTGAAAACAGATGTGACTGCTCAGAACCCCAGAGGTGCAGTCATTAATCCCTTTGCTGCTAAACACAAGAATCCAGGTGGTTAGAACCTATCAGTTTCTTCAGGTGAGAAGAAAGCAGTCACCTGCTTCAGCAAAAAATTGCACAGCCTTGGATTCCCTATGGGGCAGTTCTACTCTGTCCTACAGGGTTGCTGATTCAGACCTGATTCAATAGCAACAGACATTCTGACTTTCCAAAAGTCTATTTTCAACTAAAACAGTATGTCCATACTCCAACCTCATTTGGTATCCTTTTGAGAACTGTTTGCTCTCCTCTGACTATCTACTTAAAATCAGGGTTCTGAAACTTAGCTGAACACTGCAGTTGTGGCTTGACTAGCAGAAATAGCATAGCTATATTGTTTCCTCTGGTCTAGATGCTATAATTTACTGCATAGTTCTTAGTTGCTAGGAAAAGTGAACTTCAGTTTGTGTTGTGTCTCCTTGTCATTATGGACAAATTTCATATAGTCTTCAAAAAAATCCAGCTCTTTCTGTGCCAGTTCTCTGAAAAAATCTGTAAAGGCTACTAAAATAAATAAATAAAATACATAAATCTCAAGCTCATTGCCTTTGAATCAGAACTGACTCATACATACCTGTCCCTCCAGCAGGTTTCCAGGAGGAGGTTGTCCATCTTTCTCCCTTGAAGCCACTGGTAGATTTGAACCACTTGCCTTTAGTTTAACAGCACAACTCTTTACCCATTGGAGTCCTCACATGCTACTCAAGAACTCCTCAA